GCAACGCCCAGATACTATGTATACACAAGTGAGGCATCCTCTTTTAATAATACTCACTGAGAGAAATGGAACTAATTTTAACGAATCCATATTGGTTATTTGCCTTATTTATTATATTAGTATTATTAAGCTAATGAATTGTTTTCCTATTCCCAAGTGTTGTTTATTAAATATTTTTTCTGTCGTGATATGTGGTGTGGTGGATAAGACCAGTTTTATTTAGAATGGCAGCGCACACCAGGACATGTGTTAATACTTCAAGTGTGTATTGTAAGTATCATCTGATTGTTATATTTTTCTGGTCCTTGGGGGTCATTGATGCCAGCACTATTAAGTGTTGAGAATTGAGTACCGCTCAAGCCGGTGCTAGGGAACGTGAGGGATGTTGCACTTATTCATTATCCCTCATGTACAGACTCAATTAAAACGAATCTGCAATCATTATTTAATTTTGTTGTGATTTATGCTTCCGAGGGATCACTTTGTTTCCAGATTTGTATACAATCTAGATCAGCAAAATGTCATGAATATATACAAACCGTATCATACAAATTATTGAATAAACTACATACAATTATAACATTATGTATCAGTATCGTGTAGCAGCAATATTTTATTTTTGTAATGTTTTGTTGTTAGGTCTTTTGAAAACATTTGTTTTTTACCCGTATTGATATAGATATTGATGTGATAAACAAGATCAGCAAGGAAGAGCGGCATTTAATATATGTCTCCCTGTATTTTGGTGTAGCAGATAAACATTCTAGAGTGATAAGTGCATTTCTATAAAACAACGTTTTCACCATGTTATTAAATATACTGTTTCAGTCACGCTAGTTTTGCTGTATCAATGCGCTAAAAGGCAGCATTGGTGCTAATTGGGTTCTTGTTTTACTTCCGATAAATGCTACAATTAATCTAATGTAATACATAAAATCATGTATTTATCTGTCCCTACAGTGCAAAGCCATTTTGCGAGTGCAACGTAAACAATACAATATTTTAATGTGTGGTGAAATTAATGTGTACACAGTACGAATTAGTATAACCTTGATTTGAAAGTATTTAAAAATATTCAACCGTTACATAACTAAAACTTTACGTATACCATTTTTATTTGCAAACAATGACAGAGGGCAATTTTGATTCCTGTTGTGCAAATAACACCAAATGCAACTATGAAAAGTATAAAGTAATGTCTCATTAAACGTAAAACAACAATTATTTCAATCTAATGACCTATTAAAATATGAAAGTTGCACATGCTAAATCAAACTGGACTTGCAATATTTTCATTTGTGGCGTGCTACGTAAGCAACCCTGTTGGGTTTATTTGACAATTTCCTTACGATTGATGAAACAATTTAATATTTGTTAGGTTTAAAGAGTCGTTTCCCAAAATAAACATGTTCAAAATGTACAGGACGAAGAAAAGAATATAACTATATATTTGAAAAGAAAGTATACTAATCGATATTAAAACTGTTAATTGAATACATTTGAAAATTTGTTTCAAAGAAGACATAGAACCTCGTTACAAGTGAAAACTGGACAAAGCAAAAGTGAAAATTATATAACAATTCATTCTAGAATGTATTTTATTATTTCAAGTTGTTAATAATTTGAAATAAAAGCTATTCGTGTATTGATAGTACTATGGAGATGAATGTTAATAATTATTTCTAATACTATAACAGACGATTTAAAGGATAGCTTTAACTGCTGTCAGTTTTGCTTTGCTCTGATAAAAATATTCATTATTATAAATTTTACAGGATTGTTCTCGCTAAATCTGCTTAATGTATTCATAAAGCTACATTAGAAACAAATCAAAGTTAACGTGAACAAAGATATACAGTTATGCAAAATCAAGTTAATAAGCTAAATATATCTTTAAAAAAATAAGGGACAACAAAAAATGTGCGTTTTTATATCATTGTTATGATTTTAAAAAAGCTTGCGAAGCACACTTTTCTTTTTCGAAAAAATAATTAGTCTGTTTTAACAAACCTTAATATAACTAGATATTGATAAAAAATAAAGAAGTATCAATATTTATTGGTCACAAATTGCTAATGAAACTTGGAGACATTCACCATTAAGTGTAAACTTTCTTTTATGTGATCATTTTGCAACACGATACATCCGAAACAAGTTGTGACTGTAGTCCAAATTGTAGAAATATAAACATAATAACAAGAGGAAAGTATCACCGAATGTTTTTGTCTGAAAATTACTTCTTCCATGTGATGTTTTATATTGCTGTGAACGTGATCTTTGAATTTTTGTCAAAGGTTATATACCGAATGCTCTTTCGTATTAAAGTAAAATGTTCGTTCGTTAGTGACATAACACTTGTTATCGGCACATTTAAAACTTTTAATAAAAAAAATGCCAGTACTTAGAATCGGAATAGCATGCACTATATGTTTGCATTGCGTGATTTCTAAATATACAATAATTGACCAATTTGAAATAATTATATCAAAGATATGGTATGCTCCTTTTTTGAATAAAATATTTTTAATTGCAGAAATCTATGGAAATCTAGGGATTATTACTTAATTTACTTAATTTGTTCAATTTGAATAAAGGTATACACAAACTATGTTCGGAAAGCTTAATTCCCTATTACTACATAAAGTTAATTTAGTCTTTGCTTAAACAAATGTCTGGTATTTTTTAATGAAACTATATATTCATATTGTGTTTCCCTAAAGTATGTAGGGTTTAAAACGCAACATAATTTCTCTTTCTGTTCTTTAAAGATACACGAAATATTTATTTTATTTTATATTTGAATAAAGACTGTATAGCATTATCAGAATTTTCAAACACCAACTTTGAGAATAATATATCTTTTAAAAAGAAATGTTTTGCTAGGGAGCCAAAAAAAACGAAATGTAAAACATTTATTCCACCCAGCAAGACAATACCCGAACGAAAGAACTAAAATACCACAAGTACGTCAAAAATATCGTGCCGAACGATCTTTAAGGATCGGAAATATGACATCCCTGATTAAATGTACTGGGCGACTTTTACAGCCTCCACACGGCACAAACAACGCTGATTGATGTGAGTATAAATTATTATTATTATTATTATTATTATTATTTACCAAACTTATAGCGCCCTTTTCATATACATGTTCAAAGGCGCTTTACAATGATATAAACTAATAACTAATTACAGCAATACAATTTAAATACTAAAACAGCATTCACATAATAAATCTACGACATAATAAGAACAAGAATATGAGACAATCAATTAAAATGTGGTATTTACCGTTTTACAATAATATAAAAACTAATAACTAATTACAGCAATACAATTTAAAATACTAAAACAGCATTCACATAATAAAAATTACGGCATACTAAGAACAAGAATATGAAACAATCAATTAAAATGTGGTATTAACTTAGTCGTTTAGAATTAAAATAATTAAATATCGACAACACATGATTAAAATATTCTAGAGAAATTTCTAAAACACTTAATTAGAAATAATGTATTATATAATCAACACCTTAATTATTTGTAACTGTCTTAAAAATATTAGCAGAATTAAAACAAATTGTAAAATTATGGTTGATATCACACAGTAGTCACACAGTTTTCTAAAATCACTGTCTCAGATTATTCACGATAAAACATATGCTTGTTTGAAATAGTGTGTTTTAAGTGCACGTTTAAAAGAACACAATGAGCTCGAGTCTCTCACACCAGACGGCAGATCGTTCCACAGTTTCGGAGCTGCATATTCAAATCGTCGGTCGCCAAAGGTTACAGTTTTACTCGTTGGTACCACTAAAGTAAGTGCTTTGTTCTGAGATCGTAGATTCCTTCGTGGTTTGTAAACACATAACATTCTTCCATATATTCCGGAGATTTTCCATTTAAAGCTTTGTAGGTATGTGTTAAAATTTTAAACTGGATTCTGTATTGCACCAGAAGCCAATGTAATTCTTTAAGTACAGGTGTAATATGATCGTACCGTGAAGTTCTGGAGATGATGCGGGCAGCTGTATTTTGAACAATCTGCAGTTTGTTTATTAATGTTTGAGGTACTCCATACAATAATGCATTGCAGTAATCTAGGCGAGAAATGACCAATGAAGTGACAAGTTGTTTAGATGCACCAATTGTCAGATATTTTCGAATTCTTCCTATTTGTCTAAGCTGAGCATAAAATGATCTGCATACCGAATTGATGTGATCTTCCATGTTCATGTTTGAATCAAAGATGGCACCTAAATTTCTAACATTGACCGATTGGTTTATTTTAGAGTCACCCACGGTTATCGATAGATCTTCAATGTGTTTGGAGTTATACGGAGATGAGAACATGATGACTTCTGTTTTATCAGTATTTAGTTTAAGCATGTTTGCATTCATCCATGATATTATGTCTCGGAGACACGCTTGAATGCGTTGTAATTTTTCTTCCTTAGAAATGTCATCTAATGGTTTGAAAGATAGATACAGCTGTGAGTCATCGGCGTAGAGATGGTATTGCAGTCCGTGATCTTTGCAAATGGCACCAAGTGGTTTAGTGTACATAGTATAAAATTTTGGCCCTAAAACGGACCCCTGTGCAACACTAAAATTAAGTGTGACCGGCTTTGACAGCACACCGTTAATGTATACTGTCTGTTTTCTATCTTGAAGGTATGATGTTATCCACTCCAGTGGTTTTTCAGCAATTCCGAAAACATTTTCAAGTCTCTGTACCAAGGTTTTGTGATCTATTGTGTCGAAAGCTGCTGATAGATCTAGCATAACTAAGATTGTCACATTTCCATGGTCAAGGGATTTTAGTACATCATTTTGGACTTTGATAAGTGCAGTCTCTGTCGAATGGAGCTTGCGATAGGCTGACTGATACTTTTCTTGAAGTTGATTTGTTGTCACATGTTCATCAATGCGAGAGCTTACTACTCTTTCAAGTGTTTTCGATACAAACGATAGATTTGAAACAGGTCGATAGTTTTTTAAAATATTTTGATCCAATGTTGTTTTTTTTTCAGAAGGGGTTTAACATAAGACCTTTTAAACTCTGTGGGAACATTTCCTGTACTGAGAGAAATGTTGATAATGTTAGAAAGAAATGGTAAAAGTTCACCAAGGCACGATTTTAATAGCCATGTTGGTATAGGATCCAGTTCACATGATTTATTTGAAGAACTATTTATTATTTTCTTAATTTCTTCTTTTGATGCTTTCTCAAAGCGAGTCAGACTATTTTCAACGCCCATCTGTTCCGGTTCCACGTCACCTGGGTTTAGAACTAATTTTGATTTTATTTCATCCCTGATGGTCTCTATTTTCTCAACAAAGAAATCACTGAACTCTTGTGGCAATTTATCAGTTTCTATGTTTGTGGGTAAAGATGTTTCAGTTGGACCATTCATTATGTTATTGGTAATTTGAAACAATTGTTTTTGATCTCGACAACAGGATGTTACCTTATCAGAATAATGGTTCACTTTAGCCTCCACCATTATTTTATTTACTTTTGCACATTGATTTCTGTATATTTCGAGGTCTATAGTTAATTTAGATGATTGCCAATTTCTTTCTAATTTGCGCCGCATATGTTTTGCGTCATGTAGCTCCTGGGTATACCAAGCACAAGAAGGTCGTAACACTATTGTTTTAGTTTGAATTGGAGCGTGCTTTTCGAGCAAGGTGGAAAGAACATTCGTATATTCTCCTACAAGTTGTTCGAGATCGGTGTGTTCAAGATGTAAGAGTGTTGATGATTCAATATCACTCTTAAAGGAATCTATATCAATTGAGTTGAGTTTTCTATACGTCACTGACTTTCGGATAGGCGGAGGTTTTTCAGCAATGGTATTGAATATAATTGCATAATGATCTTTTGTCACTTTTCCAGATTTGTTGTCTGATAAACCTGGATCAACAACCTTAATGTTCGAAATTAAGTTGTCAGTGTCCTAGTAATGACAACATCAAGTGTATGTCCAAGCACATGGGTTGGTTCTCGAACATGTTGTACCATTCCACATGATTGTAGAATGCTTGTGAATTTAATTGTGTCAGGTTGAGTGGGGATATCCAGGTGGAAGTTCAGATCTCCTGTTATTATAATGTTCTTATCAGTCACAGCAAATTGTGCTAGGAATTCTGCCCATTCTTCTAGAAATACACTAGTTTTTAATTCATTTCCTTTAGATGGGGGTGGTCGGTAAACAATAGCTAACCTCATTGAATAATTTTTGATTGTTATCTTGCAATCTAAATGTTCAAATGTTGAGTACTCACTATCATGAGTTGATGTTAGAACCTGAACATTTATATTTGACTTATAAATCACGGCGACACCACCATAACCTTTCCCACCAGGGCGCGGGGCATGTTTTATCTGATACCCCTCTGGCAAAAGTTCATTCAGACATACTTTGTCAACTGAAGTTCCAAGCCATGATTCGGTGATTGCAACCAAATCGAATTTGTATGAAAGTATAAAATCACAAATGGCCAGAGTTTTATTTTTAACTGATCTTGGGTTAATGCAACATACATTTAACTTTCTTTGGCCTTTAACTGCAGAAATAGGTTCGTACTGTATTGTGGTCAGTGTCTTAATTCTAATCTGATCATTGTCATTTTGTGGTATTGTATTATATCTATTTGTCAATTTTACTGTTGAAATAGCCTCTGATAAGTATTGCAGGTTTGAAAAGTTTACTCCATCATTGCATGCTGTCCCAAGATCTAAATACATAATTGCGACCTCCTCGGGCACCTCTAAAATTTAAGAGATTTAAGTTTTTCAGTGTTGTGAATGTACCATTGTTAGGTTTCAAGTATCTCCTGGGCACTTTAGCTAAATCCAATAATTGCTCTCTTTTGTATGTGATCAAGCACATTGTGTCTGACAATCGCTCACCAACACAAAACACAAAAACCAGCCCACCATACACATGCACACTTCATATATCCAATTGTTTTTAAATCCAAATATCTCGAAAATGAATAAAAATTTCACAGAAGTAATTCCACAATCAGATTACTTGATAATTTATACAGATGTATGCTCAAAATCTCTTAGAAACACCGAACGGTTAACACCAAAAATAATCCAAAATGTCAGAGCACAAAAAATAGCAGCCCCACTAGGCGCTCAAATGTTAATTTAGACAAAAAAGAATCCTTAAAGAAAGCCCAACACGACAAAATAGAAAATGTTGCAAGCTCAGTTCAAGATGCATCATAACTCATAAACGTAGAGAAGATAAGTCTAAAATGAAGTGTTTGTAAATCAATACATAAAAACATAATCGATAGATAGTACTAGAAATAATAACACACCACGGTAGAAATTTTATATGAATGGTGGTGGCAAGTCACTAAGAAATCAAACTATATATATTTAACCCTTTTACAGATATCCAAATTATACATTTCTTTTGTTGCTTTTTTATCAATATTGAAAAATGATACTAAAGAAAACGGTGTCCATTGCAGACCAATTTTTTATGTGTTCACATTAATCAACACAGATAGGCAGCGGTAACTAAATGAAAGCCTGAGTTAATAAGTGACCATTGAAAACACTTACATAACGTACCTCTGAAATAATAAGATAAACAGTCAGTAAAGTTATTATAAAAAAGTTTTTAATCTTGGGAACAGTTACAACATTTGAAATGTTTGTGGTAACGAAGTGTCTAGGAAGATACAGAAATAAAAGTTTTGATTTGTTTACGACGTCTATTTTATTTACAACATCGTTATGCTTTTCATCACAATACACACGCTAAATGACGTGATTTGGTACATTGTATAATTCCTATTTCACGCTGTTGTTCAATATAAATATTTATGTAATGATAACACAAGGTTTCATACAAAATGTTTATAAATAAATGGCATATGATTGGTAAATAAGACTAATTTATCAATTTAACATAACATAAGATAGAAATATTGTACAGACTTACAGGTAGTCCACATTGTTATAGCATAAAACTTTTATTTTTTTTGTTTCATATTAAGTTTTAAATGATCAAGGGCAAATTCACTATACACGAATTACTTCTTCATGTGTTTTTCAGATGAAAGTGTTTGGAATAAAAATCGTCATAATCATAACGATATATCCTCCTTGGTATGACCTTATGAGCACCGTTTAAAATTATATGTGACCTGTTATCACAAATAAAAGCTTCACAAAAAAAAGAAACTTGTGATTTGTTGCGATTTCTATATAAATAGACATATATATCTATGTTTATGTGATTCTATACGTATTTAACGAGGAACACAATTCTCAAGAGCCAATAATGACGTTGTATATATTTGGTTAAGGTAAGTTTACCGTTATCCCGGGGGAAATCATCAGATGATCTTTTATCAGAGGTTACAAATAAATAAATGGAAGATTGTATTAATGTCTGAAAATGAGAAATGAAATTGCCTTAGTTCAAATATACAATTTGTGGCAACGTTTTTCACATTGCCACATGATTCGTTTATAAAGAATGAAAAAAAATATCTATCACATTTATAAGTATAATATTTTAGTTCAAGGTTACAGTAATCCAAACATTAAATATTATTTTAAAATTTATGTTCAATAATTAACTTAAAACTATTTCTTGACAAAACATGGTTTTATGGAGACATCTTTTACTAATTGCATGTTCATATTTTATTTAACAATATCATAATATGTTTTGTAAAAATGAAACAATACCTTGTCATGACCAGCACATTCTACTCTTCTTACTGGTGAATAGTAGTATAAAACGTTGAAACGGTGGGTTTACTAAAAGATTCTTTTAACGACTAATGTGTACTTAACTGCAGACTGCGGTCATAATGATACAGAAACATGTACAATAACACCATCTCATAAACTTCAGCAAAGAAAGTCGAGGTCTTTAAAATTCTATAATTTTATTGCTTGTTTTTGTTTTTTGTTTTTGCTTTTTTAATTTTATCATTTTTTTTCTGCCTTGTTAAAGCTCGTCCATTTGCCTAAACCATCTTTTGCTTCTATTGCCTTTTTGGAAATTAATATAGAGCTGGTTTATAGTAATTAGTATGGAAGATAAAATACACATTTGTTTACATTTTGCTACTTTTATGATATATAATGCTACATTTGGTTCTGCTAGTGAAAACAACTTTAATGCTCAAAAAATCATCAAAATATTATATAAAACAGGTGTGCCCTTCTTAAGAAGGAAACTTATTCATGGGTTTCTGAGTCATAATATGTCATGCCCTATATTAAATGTAGATTTTTATCGGAACAATGGGACACCATCATTGTAAATCATATGCTTTACAAAGGATTAAATCAAAAGTTGTCAAATTTCAGGAGGAAAACAATGCTTGATTATATTCTATATTTAGCAATATTTAAATTCTAAAGTAATACCTCAGTAACAAATGACAAACGGCCGCCTGGCGGCGTCTTTTTCTCCAAGAATATCGGCCGGTGACAATCGGACGGCAGCAGATCAAAATTTTGCTTATCGTGCGGGCGCCGTCGAGGTTTAACTACTAATTAAAATCTAACGGCGTCCGGACGATGATATTTTGGGTCACTGAGCTGAAAAAATAATCTGACGGGGATCGCTTGGTCGCCGAGTGTCGCCCGAATAGACACCAGTAAGCTTAAGACTATCGCCCGGTTTTTTCGTCCGGCGATCGCGCGGCTTGAGTTTGTTGTAATTTCGGTTCCTTTGACGGTTGGTTGTCTTAACGATTATTTTGTAGCAAGATGTTGTTGGTGTTTGGTAAAGTTATTATCGCCTTTGCAAATAAGTTTTGATGTTTGATTAAAATTTTCATAAATTTGTTTTTTTATGTCATAGTTCTACATTTATATATCATCACTCCAACGTTATACTGAAATAAAACTCTTTTTTTTTCAAAAATCACGTACAATTTTTTCGCTAGGAGTTAGTTACAAGGCTTAGTGTGGACATATTTATATTTATGGTAAAACAATTTCAGTGTTATCAAAAAATGCAACAAAATTATTTATTCTCTTCCTTCTGAACATGCCTTGAAATACCACAGAATGCATCTATTGCAATGTAGATTTTAAAAAAAAATCGGGGAGCATGCCCCTAACCCCCTAAGACTAGTGCCTACATATTGATTTCTTTGAAGCTTTGCCCCTGTTCGGGTAATTGTAATTGATACAAAAAAACCTCCGATTTTAAAGGATACCGGGCGGACATCGCCCGAGCCTCGCCCGTCGCCAAAATAGACATCAGTAAGCGAACAAGCATCGCCCGATACCCGGACGATTAATTAATAGGCATCACACAGTCATCGTTTTGTCGTACTGCGATCGCGCAGCTTGAGTTTGTTGTAAATGCTGGTTGAGCTTTTTACTTGCCTAAAATGTATCCTTGAATTTCTTGGTATTTAACATGAACTTTATGGTCGAGCAAGATAGTCTACACGAATTATTATTAAAAGCAAACTACAATTCTTGTCTTATAAACTTGATCTTTATCTTTGTCTGTACTATTTATTCTAATTGTATGAAAGAGGTTGCTCAAAATTGATAAAGTTGTTCATTTACTTGCATAATATGTTACTTACTTTACCTACGCTTTGTGTCAATCTGTGTCCTAAATATTGTATTGTCAAAGTCCTTGCAAGAAAACGTGAGTATGAACTAAAAATCTACATGCTTCCAATTTGTACATTTCTGTTTTCATTTCCCTTTTACTGAAAATATATTTTTTTTAAAAAAACTTAGTGGCTTCCAGCAAACGTTTAGGCCGCGGAGATCTCTCCTTTCCCAGATTTGTTAATATATTTCAATATTGTTTTTATAAATAAATCCCTAATCCTATAAAGGAAGACAACTGCACACTAGTTATATTATTAATATTAAAGTAATTTTGAGCGACACGGTGAAAACACTGATATTATGACCTCACATAAACGCTGAAATACGCACAATGAACACCTTTTTAATTAAACAAAATTATTGACAACATAAAACTTCTAATTGCGCGGTATGAAAATGTTACTTTGTTGGCTTATTGGCACATAAAGAAATTGAACATTGAATTAAATGATAAACATTGTTCTGTTGTTAAATATCAAATATTTCCAAATATATTCAATATTAATGAATTTGTTGATACTTTAGTAACCTTTTGTTTATTAATTCATGTTTTTCGTTAAATCCAACTGAAAGTAAATGTCAAGATTTTTATAAAATAGAGAACAATTGAATCCCTAAAGAAGCTTAACACGACAAAATTTAAAATGTTTCAGACAGTTTATCAAAAGAGACACGATGTTGACCAAAAGAAACGAAGTAACATCACACATCCACACACACACGCACTTGCGCACGCACACCCACACACATGCGCACACGCACGCACCCCCTCCCACACACACACAAAACAACATCATCAAACAATCTGTTTGTCAATTAAGAGTTGGTCCTGAATCATAATTTGATTGTTTTCAACAACGCTCTTTTGCTCTTTTGCTTAACCAAAACTGATCTATGCTTTATCTGTATAAACTTTACCTAGCTTGAAAATTATAAAAACTTTAGAGAAATGTATGTGTGATTTCATTTAGGAGAATAAACCAGAAAAGATAAAAAGAGATACATTGAAGAAAAAATATGAAAATGGGGGAATAAAAATGATTGATTTGAGAAAATGTATATTATCCGTAAAAGCCCGCTGGGTATAAAAAATGATAAATGATGACTCGACATCTTTAATA